AAAGGGTGATACATACATACATACATACATACATATGCTAATTGACCACTTCCCATAGGGGCTTTTCAGGGCTAACACCCACCCATCCCACCCAGGGGAGGACATCCACCACACAGTAATCTCGTGCGTGGGAAATTAACGTCTCCTACCCCTAACCCTGCAGGAGACGGGGCCTACGGTTTATTCGTCCTTGTCCGAGAAGACTAGAATATCTATCCATTTCTCTATTATAGAAAGGTAGCAAATTCTCCTCACCTATTTTAAGACCATGAGTATTGATCCGGTGATCTAAGGGTTATTGTCGTTTAGAAAACAAATTAACAACGAAGATGCTAATATTAAAGGAATGAACCAAGCTGGCAAACGATAAAGAAAACAGACACACCGAGATCATCATCGCCATTGTTCCCTTCTCTCCCAATAGAGAATAAGGCTTGTACAGCAAAGACAAGGGCATGGTATTTCTCCTTTTCGTTCTCGTTGGGCGACATTAATATTAATACCAGTTGTGTTATTTAAAAATAGAATGGAAAATGGAACAATATGGAATGGAAAATTCGCTCAAAGATTAGTTACCACAGGGGAGTTTTAAGGAGAAAATTGAAAAAAAAAATGGGATGGAAAATAGGATAAATTGGATGGGAAGGTCGCTCAAAGATTATTTAGCGCAGAGTAATACCTTGAGTAACCTTCTAGTGAACATACCAAACAGTTAGAGTGTATTACCAGGGCTCGACACTCACTTTTCAACTTACTTGCCAAGTGGCTAGTGACGTCCCAGATGTTACGACAATTTCAGTTTGTTTACTAGCCAAGCTGGCTAGTCGAAATCGAAAACCATTAGCCAAACTGAATTTCTACCAGTCTGTGGCTAGTTGGCTACCGTTAGTGTCGAGCCCTGATTACAATGAAACACTTTGATTGCCATGACTTATTTGGTAGGGTGTTGCTGTTGGTTATATTGATTGGAAACATGACATCCTGTTAAATATTTCCTTCACATCTAAGGTGTTTCATTATTTCATGTTAGGTTCACAAGGTTCACAAATGCTTTTCAAGTAAAGGACTTATTCAACTTTGGAATGCTGGCCAATTAAAAGTAAACTCGGCCAGGTGAGAGTTGATGATATGATATTCTAGAGTATTTCACACACAGTAGATACAAAAGACTGGACGCGGCTGGGAAATTTTTTTCCAAAAGTTCAGAAGTCTCCTGACTTTTTTCTACACCACTTTCCATCTCCCGTATGTCCTAACTTACTTCAAGATCTCACTCATGATTTCCCCTGTCTTTCTTACTTCAGTGAGGCGAGAAATTGGCGTAAGAAAGACATGAGAGATGATGAGTCGTGTTTAAAAAATATTCAGAATACTATCGATTATTTTTGAAAAAGTTCCCAGGAACGGTTTTCAGTATCTACTCATGCCCGTCAGTCGTAGATGTACTGAACGTTATTTTTGTTGTTGTCTTCCTCATTTTGAAAACTTCTCACATCAAAGAGGTTTTTTAGTTTAAGATATACTCAATGTGCCTCTTTTTGCGATAGAAATCAGGATTGCTGTGAGGTAACACTTAATCACTGCAGTTACTTTGCAAAACTCCGTGCACTCACCTCGTCTGATGTTTATTGTTGATGAAAATTGTGCTTTATTAATTGGTTTATTTATCTACCCAACCAGATATTTTAATTGTATGAACTAACGTTTTATTTTAATACTGATGTAACTGAGATAACCTGTGACGTTGCCCTTTGTTACCAAGAAAAGAGCGTTAACAGGGTCAGTGCTTGACAAGTAATGTAGCCTCTTTTTCTTTTCACTATTTAGCAGAAAAGCTTTTCTCTCTTTCAGTTCAGGGTCGAAACCAACCTTGTCACTCGGCATAGCGCACGACTTTGGTGCCATATGGGACATCAGCTGGTGTCCATCTGGAACATGGGAACCTTCCTCCTCTTATACGAATCAAGTTAGTATTCTGTGCCCCTTCTAATATACACTACGCGAGGTGAGTGAGACAGACAGAAGTCTTTGCTTACCGGTCAAAACTGATGAAATCCATGATACAAAATCGGTCCTGGTCTTTGATCTCGAAGTCATAGTTGGAATTGATACAAAGATATTGTTTGCCTTTTTCCTGCACTTGTATCATGAGACGCACTTTTTCGAACTTGAAATCACTGTGATAGAAAATAATTGCTTGAATAACGGTCGTGACATCAGGAATGATAGAGAGCCATTGACTCTTTACTTCGATTGGATATCACGTTCTCTTGAGTTCACATTGAAACTTTTAGAGCCAACATGCATATGTAGAGTTGCTTAGGTTACTCGTTTCCGATCATGTTTCTTAGAAAATGATTTGGTTTTATCAACTGAGTTGATAATGTAATTGACCACCGTAAAGAGTGTCTAAAGTTGACGTTTCGAGTGTTAGTCCTTCGTCCTCCCCTCTGACGAAGGGATAACGCTCAAAACATCAGCCTAGAAACTCTTTACGGAGGCCAGTTCACGTTATTGACTCAGTTGATAAAACTAATTATTACACGACTCGGGCAGTCAGAGGGCCAATGACTAAAAAATCAACCAATCAAAATGCTTTATTGCCAGTCAATATTCTCTCAGTATTGGACCGGGCACTGTCCCGAATGATACCGCACTTTTGTCCCTTTGAACTTCAGTCGTATAATAAATCTCTTATTAACCAAGCTTACTCGGGACCGTACTGGAAGAATATCGGCCCTCGGTCTTTTTTGTACGGACCGAGCGCAGCTCGGTCAGTACTGTCAAGACCTCGGGCCGATATTCTCCCAGTGCGGCCCTCGCGCTTGGTTAATAAGATATATATTATCTTGTTTTACTCCTCCACCGACGCAGTACCACAGTTTCTTCTGAAACTTACCCCCTGTATTCCTTAGAGAATAGTTGATATAGTTGTCAAAATTTTCTGATTCCATTTCTACACGTGAAAATAATTCAAATACTTTACTCTACTATTATTTTCTATTTGCTAGAAAGAGTGTCTGTCACGTCTCGGTGTTATAGCTGTGGCATGTAGCGATGGCCTGGTTCGTATTCTAAGGTATATCTCTAAACTTTTTCGCCCTAACTTCTGGTAAGCACTGTGCTACACAAGGATTTTGGCTGTTGAAAAACCTTTTTTTTTTTTACCAGAAAATTGATGTTAGAAAGAAGAAGCTAACAGTTTTCTATGCGATTTTTGGATCAGATTTAGGTGACAAACAGTTGCTCAAAAATAATGCTAATGTTTTCTCCTTTTTTAACAGCATTCCTTGGCCCTCTGAGTTGAAATCTGTCGAAGAGGTGAAGGACTCAGAGAGCAATTTTAAGACAGGTATTGCTAGTGATGAGTTTTGTGCAGGTCTGTTTTTTTTAGGGATTATCCAAAAATTGATATTAAAACAACTTTCTTAGTTTAGCGGAAACAATTAATAGCGTTTCGGAGTAATTTTTTCAAAAGGGTATTTAGCCTGCTGCATTTTAATGATTTTTGATGAAGATTGCTCGTTTGGTCTCACCATGAGTATTTTGGCCATTTCTGGTACTCATGTGATACGCTGGAGAGGCTTACAGAAACGTACGATTAGGCGTAAGAACTAATCGAGAACGAGAGCTGCTTCTGGGTAGAATTGTAGCGTTGCTCCATACTTTGTAAAGGCGGTTAGTTCTGTTTTAGAGAACTACAGAGACGCAAACAGATTGTCAAGGAATCTTTTTTTTTTTTCTTTTTTTTTCATCTTTTTCAGTAATATTTCGTCTCATTCCCCATGCTCTTTTGATCCCATGTTCCTTGGGTGTGGCTTACAATGGAGAGAGTGGTCAGGCTTGGTGTGCAAAATGGTTTCCATGTGCCATGCACGAGAAGATAGCGGCTGGCTTTTCAGATGGTGAGAATTGTTTTACGCCGAAAATGAATAAGTTTATCCAATTTCATCCATAGCATCGACCTGATTACATTTGATTTGAAATGATAATTTGGCAGTGCATTCGTAATTTTTTTTGAAAAGCTTTTCTGAAGTTTAACTTGAATTTTCATGAAAGGTATCAGTGTAACAAGGTAAGCTTATCATTCAACCATAATCGTTACCAATGACAGTTGTTTAGCGTGGTCAGTACTCTTTTATCGACAATGATATTCGTCATCACAGTGGTCAAGGTGTTGATGCGGACTCATGAGGCGTGGCTGAGTATATTTTTACCACAATATCAACGTGAAATAAAAATATTCTTTCAGTGCGTGACACCTCAACGCGAGCAGAGTTGTCTGTACTGTCATCGACAACGGCAAATTGGCCAGTCAGATTGCGATATTACTGCCAAATGTTGTAAAATCCTAGATTGACAGAGTTAATGGAATGTATCAAAGAACTCATTTTCAAATCTACTCGTTAGCATCTTGCAATTAGATGCTTGACTTCACCGTTTCCCCCACACAACCCCCACCTCCCCAATCTTTTCTCTTGGTTTTTTTTTTGGAGGGGGGGGGGGAAAGACGGGCAACAATTTTCCTTGAAAGAACCTTTTCTCGTTTAATGAATGCTGATGATGACACTCCTTTCAGGATCGGTGGCAATCTGGAATCTTTTGACCGAATCGCCGTTGCTTAAGGAAACCGACAATGATGGGAAAGCATTTCGTGAGTAAAAATCTACTAAATTGACTATTGATAGCTTCTAGGTTTAACCACTACTGTGTAACAGTGGTGATGATTGAACGTCTTAAAGAAAAAAGACTTAAATGAATAAATAAACACAGACTTAATCCAGGATTGCAAGTGAAGGGAACATTCTTTACAATTTTTGAGACATGGTGAAACGCTTTTGTCCACCTGTACCAACATCTCAGAAAATCACCAACTCATGCAAACGCTATTTTCTAAAGTTTCTGCTTTACTCTATTTTCCAGTAGAAATACAGTTTCTTTTCAAATAGGTCGCATTATCGAAGAGTGAATGCTATGCAGGAGTTTGTAATCTCGATATTCCAGTAATAGAACTGTTTCTACTTTCATGGGCTGCTTCTTGCATAACTCTCTAGAGATGGAAGCTTGTATATCTTTCTACCGCATAATTCACTGATTTCCCATTTTAAATTTCATCTGTCACAGGTCTGGCTCCTTTCCTTCATATTCCAGCGAATTCATCAGTGATCAAAGATCTGGCTTGGTGCCACGAATGTCCTGACTACCTTGTTACAGGTAAACCGTGAAATTTTTGATCACAGGTATACCAACAACGCAATGTTGACGTCATTGGCGAGAGGAGTTGATGTTGAGAACAGGCAACTGTAGACGAGCGTTGTTTGTTTGTTTGCTTATTTATTTATTTATTTATTTATTTATTTATTTATTTATTTTTATATGTAACACCGCATTTCAAGATACGTGTCTCCAACACAGAAGATCTCCTTGACTGGCTCGTTTTTCTTGGCAAAAAGGCACTCAATATGTAGTAAAATAAACCTCTTCTGGTGGCTGCTTTGCCGGCTGACAGTCTCCACGGCTGAGTTATTGTCTGAGAATTGAATGTTTGGCCGAGATGCGAGGAACCACGTGACGTAAAGTTGCCCATAGAATCGCGCGAAAATTAATGAACGAGTTATCATGTCACATATCTTCAGATTTTATTATCTAAAGCGACTTCGGCGTGATCTTTCTGATGACGTGAGTATTAAAACTTAACCAACTGAACTAAAATTCGTGTCTTTGTTTCCGATTTCTAGGGGGTTATGATCGAATGTATAAAGTGTGGAATCTTAGGTCTCCCTTAATACCGGTAGCTGTCATAAAACGAGGTACGTATTCGAATCAACTTCACTTCTTTACACTTTGTTGTTTACACGAAAGAGAAAGTAACTGATTCGAGTTACATGGGCGGTCAATTATTCCCTTTGAAAAAGGTTTTCATTGGGGGGCTTAATCAACATTTTTTAAAGTGAAAGATAATATACATAATGAATGACACAGGCATATTCGGGAAAAAAAAAAAAAACCAAAGTGCTCCCACTAAGGGTCGAACTTGCGACCTTTCGAATGCTCTACCACTGAGCAACGGGAGACTCTTAATTAAGTTCATTGCAAGAACATCCGGCAAACTGCTAGGACAAGAATGTCTCTATGTGATGCTTTTGCGCAATGAACATGGTACGCATCGTCTGATTGGTCAATTCAGTTCCCAAGCGGATGCCTTAGAAGGTTACAGAGCATGCATGTAATTAGTATCCGAGAAGACTAGAACATCTATCCATTTCTTGATTATACGCATCATCTGATTGGTCAATTCAGTTTCCAAGCGGATGCCTTATAAGATTATAAAGCCCGCATGTAACTAGTTGTGTCATAAAAGCAATAGAGCGGTTTTTTTTTTTCTTGTTTGTGTTTTTTTTTTCTTTCGAGCTCCTGGGGTCCAGAAAAATGTGCTTTATTGCTTAAAAAACGTGCGAGCATGCTATCATTTTTAGCACTGCAAGACGCACGTTCTCCACCCGTAGAAAATTTGAAACGAGTCGGGGAGGGGTTTTCTGAAAGTCTGGCACTGATAATCAGGCCCAGACCTCTTCTCCGCGGGAGGAGAAACATTTGTGCTGGAGTGTCAACACTGTGAACTTTTAGAGCGATGTTTGAATCTTAATTTTTTTTTTTTTTTTTTTTTTTTTTTTTTTTTTTTTTTTACCCCCTAACTTACAGGTATACCGCATGAGATTCATTGGCCGTACGGGTTTGCTAATGTCATAAGCTGTGAAGACGATGCATTTCAGACTTTGACGCACCCGTGTGTTGCGAGATATTTCACATTTCAAACCAACAAAGACGAGAGATTGACCAGCCTCGTGTCCACACATAACTGTACAATCTGGGTATGTACATTTAATTAGGAATTCTACTTAAACGAAGGTTCTTCTCGCCGACTGCATTGTTAATGAGCTCGCTACAAGAATACGCTACTGCCACTCCCAATCTCGGTCTTCTTGGCAAGCTGTGTTGAGTATGATCCCTTGCGGCCTTCATGACATAGATTGGGGCAGTGAATATGCGACTGCCCCAAGGAAACACTTTTCGCCCCTCCCCCACCCCTCCCACCGTGAATGTGACCGCACCACTCAGTTTCCCTGCGTACCATTTTCTTTTACATTTACCGATTCGAGCCGTAACTTTGTCAGCTGTGGTGATTCATCATTGAAAAAGCAATTTTCAATTGAGCGTCAAAATTAACCAGGGATTGCTTTGTTTTTGCTTCACTTCCCTCCTTTATTGGTCCAGAAAACTTGCGCCGCTAAACTACAACCGTCGTGGCGTGTTGGTCGCTCGCATTTTCCCTCGCTTTAGGCATCGGTGTTACTTTGAAACCTTATTGCCTCTTAAAAGGTATTTTCCTTTCTTCTGATTGGGCTTCGTCGTAACTTTAGTTTTGGGTCTACGACAGTAAATCGAAAAGCGCTCTAATGCAGGAAATGAGTCATATTTGGCCTGAAGATACCAGTATGGTGGCCGAGAACTGCCATTAAAAATATTCAAAGTTATAGGAATTATTTTTGTTTTGTTTTTTTTTAATTTCGATTTATTTCTCATTTTTCTTTTTAAAATAAAAGCAAGTGAAAGTAAAATGTAAAATAGAAATAAAATGAAACCAAAGATAAATGAAATCAAATCAAAATTAAATACTACCCGGCCGAGTGCTGCCACTAG